AATGGGTATGCTTCCAACATCGCGGGCTTCGCGCATATCTAAGGCTGTGTACAGCGTTCCCCGGATGTTTAATTAAGAGATGCAGGAAAGCACCTTCCAGTCCAGGTCATCCGTATTCCATCGGGCAGCTGTTTGACAATACCTTGTGGGGGCTTTCTGAGTGCTTTGGCCATGATAAGTCGAGATTAGGTCAATGGGGAGGAAGAAAAAGAGATTAGGTAGTGTGGGGTCGGAAGGCTCAATCAAGTAGGAGTGAGGATATATTCACGCAAATGATCTATCGGTATGGTCACGTTATTGGTGGGCGAAACAAGCAAGGCTAGGAATTCAAGTACGAGTACTTGTATCATAAAAGTTGGAATACTTGAGAATCCCCACCAGGGTATCAGGTCACCTCTCCCAGCAAGGTCCCTTGCATTTCCTCTCTTTCGCAGTCGTCTCAGCCGGGGGGCTGAAAGAGTATCTTTTTACGCTACGGTAATTATGTTTCTTTCCGTTCAACCCGAAGTGGGAAATTCTAGACGCCCTAGCGTCATTCCCAATTATTCCATTTTTTTTTACCCTATCCCTGTGGTCCGTGCAGGTAGCTTCACAAAAGCGGCAACTAAGTAGATCTAACACCCTTGAATCTCACGATGCGAGATCGGTAGTAAGGAATGGGAGCTAGCTTTCCATTGGTTGGCCTTCCTTGGGGCCTGGATTGGACTCAGCTTGCTTGGGGTCGCTGCGCGGGCACAGCACCGGTTGCTGCACGGGATAAGGATAATAGGCTAGCAGAGTGGATATGGAAGAGGTGGGGGGATAACCTCCCTTCTACGAGTACTGTACTCGTACGAGTACCGTACCATACTCGAACACTTGTCCCAATGCATAAGCACTAGAAAACATGGGGCATATACAAGTATTTTGTATTGGCGCCCATCTCCACAGACATTTAATCACATTTCCCTAATTCCTATTTCAGGTAATTTATGGCCTAGGATATGTTCCCCTTCCCAAAATTACAAAGCACCCAACAATCCCTAGCGCTTTGCTGTGCAACAAGGGTAAAAAGGGTGAGCACCGGACTGTGCCTTTCCAATAGACTATCGTTAATCGATCATACAAATAACGCGCACCACGCAAGACACGGACTAGAGTACCTTAGGAGAAGAGCCCTAAGGCTATCCAAACAAGCTTAAATCAACACCCGCGCATTTCCCGTATATGTACTGTACCAGTATCAATCAGGAAGCTTACTCATCAAACCGTTGCAAAGCCCGGTGCCCTTCGACAAAAAAATCGTGCGCCCCCCTATACGTCGTACGGGATCGCTTTCCCTACAGCACTTGTATCGGACCACGGCGAGCGTCGCGTCAAGCTCATTGGTACAAGTAACGACCCAAGCGAAACTTTATCACCCCAAGGGTGTCGATAGTTAGTGCGCTTCTCACTGTATCCTTGCTGCTTGTTGTGCTATGATATGCCTTAAGGTAGCTCCCCCCCCTCCCCCTAGGAAACGCAGATATATCAAAATTTCTCCTGCACTTGTGTGTCAATAGGGTAGTATTAGATCGGAGCTCGGCGTGAAATTCCCTTGGAAATGCACTGCCTCAGCCCTACTGCCCCGCTCAAACTGGGGTTCCGAGTCATGCGTCAAGAATGTGGTGGATGCTGGATACTTCTGGTAATTCAGTGCGGACCAAAGCCAGACTGGTCCAGGACTGATTGGGGGGCTTACTGATGCTCCGGTGAGACCGGTCTATTCCCTCACACCACTAACGGACTGAGAACCTGATATCTAGTCAGTCCGATCAGTGCGTACCGGAACCCTTGGAGGTCGAAGTCGGTTGGGATTGGGCATTCTTCCTCTGACATGCATTAGAGGAGCGGTATGGGGCGCGGTGAATCATGAGATGTAACGCTTGTAATATGGCTCTGCATTACCCAGCACAGCATACATCACATCAAGCAGGACGAAGCCATGTGCGTGACTCAGCGATTGTATTATCAAACGAACTACCCTGTGCCAGAGTGGAAACCGAAAGAGAAATCGTGGTTAATTGCGTACGGCATTCTGGAATCCAAACCAAGGAAACCCTATTCCCAAGTAATCGTCAATATGGGCACTAGTGTTCGCTTTACACATCAGTGACAGTATCATAATATCGTACATTATCCGTGTGTCAGTAATCAGAAACCTATTTCTGCTGATGCCATACCGGTACAGATCTCCATCAAGACAAGCGCTATCGTACTTTTTCCGACTTGTATGGACAACGCCCAAGTCCGAGGAGATCCTAACCTTCCCCCATCAAGGCGCTTTTGGCTTCTCTCCCCTTCGGGCACATGTTTATTCTATAGATCTTTCCACCCGCTAGTATCTTATACCGCTATTTCCACATTCAAATTAGCCAGGCACGTATTGGAATTTGGTCCCACCCATCATTTCACCGCTCTACAAAAAGCAGTCAAAAATATGCATGAATGTACTCTAGTTACCATATGTTAGCCGCCAAAACGCCACCCCCCCCCCGGGTGTTATCCTCCACTTCCAAAGCACGATCGCGAAATACCGCCCACCGGTAATACCGGTATTGTTATTGTAACATAAAAAAAAAAAAAAAAAAAAAGAAATAGAAATAGAAAATACACATTATACCACTCACTACCGGTACAGTAAACGGAGAGAGCGTGTGGGGGGGGCGTCCGCACCGGATAGATACATTTTTTATTTTTACCCTGAACCTCTCGATTCCCCCGATTCCTAGCGCCGGTGGATTGCATTCAGGAGGTGGGAATGCGATAATTGAATTCGCTTCCCAGGACTTTATGCAGTAACTGATCAGTTACACCGCTTAGGAGCTCTGCGGCGCCGTGCTTCATGTGCTTCGATCGGCTCTTTTCGCCCCGGCTCGTAGAGGAGTACAAGCGCTTGGAAACCAGGGACGGAGATTGATGAAACGGAGGCTCCGCACTCTCGGGTTCGCGTAGAGGAATTAAGGGTGCGAAGGGGAGATGGAAAATTGTTTGAACTATGGTAGAAGGTTTACTCGGATTGTCCACCCGCACTTAATTGCTGTGATACTATACTCGAGTACGAGTAGGATAGCACAAAATGTTGCCCCATAGTTGGTTAGTCAGTTGGGGTACGGTACTGTACGCAGCAATTGGTACGAGGAGCGGACGAAGCAAAGGATCGCAATACCGCAGTAATTATTTCCAAAAAAGTGTTGGAAGAAGTGCGGGTACGATGGTCATATCAAGACATCACCGTCATTCACCATTTCATCATTTCACGGTCACCAACCGCACTCCCGACTCCACTTGACCACTCCCTTCATTCCATTCGGATGGGGCCTTTCGCAACACACGATAGGGAAGCGGCAAGCGCAGTGGATGGCCCAGTTTTGTTATTGCATACTCGTACAAGCGGGTTAGGCTTCCTTCCATGCACGGGAAAAGCGAATGTAGCCCTCAGAGCCCAGGGTGGGGTTTCCATATCCAATTATGCAGGCATGATTTCTGTGCGACAGGACTGGCAAGATTGGTGATTGGGTTGTAACGATGGGGGGAACTGTAACCTTCTAAGCATCTTATCGGTGCAGCCCTTTTTCAACCTTGCTCGCTTTACCAACCTGCCACGCCCCTCCATCCACAACAATTAAAAGCAAAACATCATAATCAATCAATTGGAGGTGATGCATCCCCCTGACCCAGAACTCGAATAATTGGTTATGCATGGAAGGCGAAGGAAATGGGAAAAGGAGATCTCCTTCATTCCCTCTCTCCAAAACCCCACCCCCCCTTGGATCGGGGGGAAAAGAAAAGAAAGGCCCCCATGTGGTCACTGTTTTTGGTATCCGGGTGTGCTTTGCGAACGAAGAACCCTTTTTCTTTTTCTTTTTCTTTTTCTTCTTTTCTTTTCTTTTCTTTTTTCCCCACCCTCTCTCTCCGCTCTTTTATTATTCAGTTAATAATATAGCGGTAGACGATTGAGCACCCACTCGCCAAAGGAAAAAAAATCTGCATGGGCCACGTTTGCGGTTCCGATTTAGACGGTGGCGGCTTGGGTGATATCTTTATTTATTTTTTTAGCAGAGAGTGCTTCCGTGCATAAGGCTGATGAGTAATTCGCTCTTTACATCCAATTGATTTGAGACGACTCCACACAGCGTGGCATACCGGTACGTGACCAAGTGATGGGCTACCGGAGCAGACCCGCGTTATTGGTCCTATGCAGTTGTCAAAAAATGGCTAAATGGGCGAATATGCCCGTGATATGTCACTACCATAAGTTATGTATGCGCGTAAGATACGCCTGCTGTACTCGAGTAATGCAGTCGCTCAGGGTACTCTTCCCTTGGCCACCCAGTCGAGGTTGAATTCCTCAAAATCCATAAATAGTAACAAAATCTCCGATGCCCTGTACTGGGGCAAAACTCCAGTAACTTAACGGCCAGGGTGCAATCTGGATATTTCTACCCAAGATCGTATTCTATCCGCTCGCCTTGGGCACGTGTTTGGCGATCCTTTAAGGAAGACATTCCAACGACCGGAAGTAAAATTACTGCGCCCAACGGAGTTCAAACGGACACACTTTCGCTTTTATCGATAATATTACCAATAACTGTTTCTACTTAGCCTTGACTGCACTTGCTAACTGAGCAATCCAGCGAAGATAATTCCCACCGAAAGCCACCGTCAATTGATACCGTACCCGCATACCACGCAAACCACGCATGCCAACTAAAGTCATTGGACCGGAAGTCGGGGATGAGACAGTTGATGCCGGGTTTCCCAAGACTGGACTGGACTGGAGAGAAATATGACAGGTCAAATGGGTAGAACCTTGTAGCGTCTAACACATTAAATTTAGCTGTCAAATGATTCAAATGCTTCCAGAATGTCTCATCCTCCATCCACCAGTTCTTTTTTCCTGTTTTTGTTTTTTTTATACGATGCAAGCACCGGCCCGTGGCTGAGCCCTTTGCCGCCGATGTGATTCTTGGGTTGCGTCCATGTCTATTCTCGTTATCAGCCCCGCCTCAGCGACAGAAACAAGTGCGCTCGCTTCCTTCCTACACTTCACACCTCCCTCCCATTACTCGAGTACAGTCCAATGCACTACTTTGGCAGAAAACAGTTTCAACCCCACCGTGCTAGTAGCGTTGTGCGAGTACTTGTATAATATGTGTCTGCGCCCACAATCAACCACGGGCGGACCCCATCTTGGTAGATCCACTATAATACAATACCTGTACGAGTATCAGGCATAAAGTATCTGAAAATGACACGGGGTTTTTCTTCTTCGTTCGTTGGGTGGTTGTGCAACGATGGCCGTGTTTGCACATCATAACACACCGGTATTGCCAGGAACTCCTGCCAGGCGAGAAGTATCCGAAACCACGAGTAGTGAGTTTGTATGGGCGCTCAAATACGCACGGATATTCCGCCATATATCCTGCGAATCCTCGTTTTTGGATACTCCTTGCGCGGGGCGAGTACCGTACAGGCGCAGTATTCCATAGTCCGCGTCCAAGAGATCTGCGGGATAAGGTCCCACCTTAAGTCCCTAGTATCATAGTCTATTCCAGATCTCATTGTTTTTCCCCGAACAAGACCCCTTGGACGCAGCACACGATGTTCAATATCTAACCAAGTAGAGGAGCACCCCCGACCCGGCTTGCGGCCTCAAACAGCACTGTTTCCAAGAGGTGCCATCCCCAACCCGCCCATCCCGCAGCACATCTGGAAAGTACCGCCCCACAGGCCAAGGGATATAAATGTAATCGGGCGGGAAAATCGTGATCCTCCAAACAATTTTTATACACTATACTCGTATATGCGTCTAAAGTTTGCTCCCTCTGCTCAAGGAACCCCTTACTCAGATCAAGCGAAGTTTCAGAAACGGTTTATGGAATCATTTCTCCATTGTCCAGCCTCCAGCTTCTCCGCCCTTGTTCTATCGGTAGTCCCGAGCCAGTCTTTTTCCTATCCACCCCGATTACGGTAGGAACAAGGGCCTCGAACCAAGTAGGATTTCTAAAGGGTCGTTATTATTATACCGCCATGGTACCGGTATATACTGAGGGATGTAGCTATTCTCGTACCGTGATTTTAGCACTCTGGATGCCTCCATCGAAAATACGGCCGACCATCCCCTGCTCCCACACGCAGGACCCACCACCGCGTGGACCGAAAAATATTGCACATTATACTCGAGTACGTTACCGCACGATCAGGAGATCACGATAAAGGACGCTTGATCCAGGAAAATTCCTTAAAATTAAAGGATCAGGTGCATTGTTATAATCCGTCCGTCTTTTTTTTTTTCCCTCTCAGCCCCGAGTGGTCAAAACAACGTAATGTAAGGGTACTATGCTAAAGTTCGACTGAGCCAGCGTTCGTGCTGCGTTACGGAGTACTCGTACAGATAAAATATTTGTGACAATGCGTGGATTACGCTATGTTGCTAAGTACGACTATGGGATCGAATGTACCGAAACGCTGTACGAAGAAGGGTGGGTGGGGGCAGAAAGGCCGTATCGGTTGGTCGCAGCTGTAACTTACTGTTGCGACCGCATATTGTACAAGAGACATCAAGGGATATATGATATACTGATAATTAATCGGCTTATATAGAGGCTGTGGAATATGAAAGGTGAGTACGTAAAGCAGTTCTGTAGTTATGTAACTAGGGGTAGGAACCTATGGGAGGTGAAAGATAATCTTACTTGGGAGAGTATGATGAGAGAAGGGGAGGAATGGGGGAGTAGTTGGAATTGTTCCCTAATGGGCAATTGTGCCAGTAAGTCAGTTTTTGGTTACTGGTATCGCAGGGTACCGTACTCGAGTAGACTTCGTAGCGGTACTTGCATTCTCCAAAATTCTAGCGGCTGTAACCGCCCCCATCCATTCAACTCCGCCCAACCTTTTTGGGTAAAGAATGGGTTGTGGTGGTGCTTCCCCAGCCTGTATCCCGACTGGGAAGCACCAGAGAGGTTGGGTCTAAAAATGAACATGGGATGCTCTCGATGTAAGGTGCTTGGTCAGAGTCTCGGCGATTCCAAATGTAGCGACATGCAGGCAGTGTGACCCACCATGTATGCCCTCCCAAAATTATGGATTCATCCGCACAGAACATTCTTTGCAGTCTTCTCTCGGGATGTAATAAGGCTGGAGAGGTTGGTGCGTCTGATACTCGGCCGGAGCAGTACTTAACTACCGTAAAAGCCTTCTCATCCTTCTCCTCCATATCGTCCAAGCTTCCCGCATCATCATCACCATCACACATTACTTAACACCACTGCCCCAATAGCCAATACTAGCCTCTACTACTGCGACTGCGTCGATATATAAAGAGTTGGGAATTCCGCACTCGATTGTTCAATTATTCTATCCAACATTCGCTCCAACACTTGCTCCAACATTTCCACTATCGATATGAACACCGGACACTACACATTCCCCACCCCCGTGATCTCTTCGATGCCTTCACCAACTTACAACACCCGCCCAACTACTAGGGTAACAAATTCATCCACCACAGAATTCAGAGGAAGCACAAACCCGGATGAGGACTGGACCAAGATCTCGGATCTTGCTGAGCGCCGAAGAATTCAGAACCGCATTGCTCAACGCAACTATCGTATGTTTTCCGCAATAACTTACCACCCCAATTCACTATAAGGAACAGAAAGACTAAAAATTCCAAACAGGCAAGAAGCTCAAGCGCCGCCTTGAGGACCTCGAGCGCCGCGCAGCGTCTCGCTCTCTCTCTCCCAACGGTGAAGATACGGATGGAAGATCCACCCGGGAGTCATCAGCGGAGCAGCCCATCGTCTCTCCCCCACCTCCACCACCGCAGGTCCTTTCTGAGGCCCCATTATCAGGAGGGAACTGCCTCCCCCCGCTGGGCAGCACTGCATACACCACCACCGCCAGCTACCCATCACAATATCGTAGTGCGGCCAGCAGCAACTCCAGCCCATTCTCATCGTCATCCCCCACTCCCTACTACCCATCAGCCAGCCCACCCGTCAACGACACAGCATCGTTATCGCACTACGAGTCTCCGAGCACACACTACATGTATGCCTACTCGCAACCAACACTATCTTCGGTAGTTGAGGCAACCTGCGGATCCGGAATCAGCTCATCAGGGCCAGAGCACACTTATCTTCCCCTCCCGTCAACGAGAATCTCGTCCAACAACTACCATCACTCATACAGTGATTTCATCACTCCTAAGACTGCTTCAGTTTTCGACGAGAACTCGATGAATCCCCTTTACCTCAGCTATGCTGGTTTAGCTGGTAAGTTTCCTATTCACACAATATGTCGCAAATAAAAAAGCCAGATGCTTATATGCGCTCCAGAATCTCCAGATCCTTCATTCTTCTCTTCGCAATACTACCACGACGATCACTCATCTCCGTCGTCCACGACTTCGGCACACTCCCCGCCGCTAGCCATCAAATCCGAATGAAAGATGCTCGATTCGTGAGCCAACTTTGTACTTCAGTGTAATTATATGAAATTAGATATTTGTGAGCTGGGTTTCCTGTTTATTTGTCACGGGTGTTGTTTTTTGTTCCTTTTTCCTTTTTCCTTTTTTCTTTTTCTTTTCACGTTCCTTTTTTTCCTTCCTCCGGTGTTTATCTTCTCTATTTGAGTTTTTCTTTGTTCGGTGAGCGAGCGCATTATAGGTTCCTGGTTCTGTTTGGGGGGCGGCTTTTCAGTTTTTCCTGTTGTGCTTTTCATATTTTTTCGCCACTACTTCCTAAAGTTTATTATCATATTTCTAGATCGGATAAAGTGTATTAGATAGGGTAGCCGGTGGGGATTCTTTGGATAGTGGGAGGAAATGGTATCGTTAGCACGATTGAAACGAACGACGAGACATGAAGTTTGTTGAATATGATACACTATTTTGCTATTGCTACTTCCCAAAAGTATCATACTCCGTCTTCACACACCTTGCTTGCTCCCGTTGCATCGCTCGCCTCAGTGACATGCTCCAATTTCCTCATCCAACCCCATCCCATCTTTCACAAGCATTCGTCAAAGGGAAAGGAAAGGGAAAAGAAAAAAGCAGTCTGCCTACTCGGGATTATCAGCCGCTCATTTTTTCCTTTCACGCACGCAGAGGAAAAAAAAAGATCCCTTTCCTTTCATCGAACTTGCTTTTTATCAGAAAGAACGAAAAAAGCAAGAAAGCGAAAACGGAAAAAGAAAAAGATAGCCACCGAACAGGAAAAAAAGAAAAAGGGAAAGAAGGGACAGAATGGACTTGCTTGCTAACCTTGCCCTGCGGGAATTTGCGCTTCCCTCTCTCGTTCGACATGAGACATTCCATGATACTTGTGCTTCTTGGGTGGGAATGCCTGGCCGCTTGGTTTCTTTGCCTCCACCCCATCATTCGGCGAGGGAGGAGGAGTCAAGTCAATAGAACCTACCGTGCCTACCTACTGAACTCTCTCGCTCGCAAGTGTGTATCGTACCAACAGCACCGCAGCTCACATCCGCCTGTACTCATAGCACCACACGTTAACTGGGTCGACAGCTATCTCGCATCCGGTCGTATTTAGTTCTTGGGGTAAACATGCGAGGAGGGTTTTCCCTAATTTTAGTCCTCTGACCGGCGGACTCGAGTACGAGCCCGTAGACTATGTTTTTCCATTTCTCTTCCATTATCATACTTTTTTTCTTCTTCCGTTCATCCGTCAGTTATAATAGTGTGGTTCACCATTTTGGAACAAAAAAGAAGACAAATGCGAACATGAACGCGAACCAGATGCTCTACTTTTTTTTTATATATAATTTATTTATTGTTTCCGAGTTACCGTTATTACTCCTTCATCTTTCCTTTTGATCTCCTCCTTTTCATGGGATACGGTACCCAAAACAACGACCCCATAAACCGACCAACTGTAACTAGTATTTTTTTTTTTTTTTTTTTTTTTTTTTTCATTTTTACGAATGACGTCTAGCAGTTGTGCCATGTTATGAGAGACGAGGATGAAGATGGGTGGAGGACCAATTTTGCTAACTCGCCGTCGTCGTGCCTCTTTTTCACTTTCTTTTTCGCTCTCAGCGCAAAAAGAGGTCATGTCTCATTTTTATGCTTCTTCTTGTGCCCCACGATTGTTCTCAGGTGAATCATTTTTGCCTTCCTCCTCTTTCCTTCTCCTCCACCTTCCCACAGTCTTCAGCAGCCAATTTTTATTTTTATTTTATTTAGTTTTTCCTTTCCCCGAGCACAGATGCGTGCGTAAACCCCCGCCCTCCCAAGGGGGTGGTGGTGTTTTTTTTCCAAACGGAGCACGAGCGCAAGGAGAAACCACCGGTCGGTCCGTCACTCGGAGGAGTGCTGATCCGTTCAAAAAGTCGTGTACAGGAGAGGGTAGTTATGGGTGCAATTGTCCACAAAAAAGGTCCGGAACCGGGGAGAATGTGATGGGAGTAAATTAAATGAAGGTGAAGCTAGATACCATCAGGCAACTACTGTACTCGAGTATAGTACTGTACTTGCGCTCTGCTGGGTAGTTGCTCGGAGTCTTGGCGTTGCATCTTGCGGAGCGTTCCAAGGGATTGATGGAGAGGCTTGGAAGTGGCCGGTACCCATACTCTTCTCGTTAAGAGTACTCGTAAGGTGCTGGACCTCTGGAGAGGAGCGAATCTCCGGTATGATAATTTAGATAATTGTCATTGCGAGTGATGATCGCTTCTTCACATTTTCAGAGAGAAAGAGAGCACTAGTTAGACTCTAAGCTACCGTTCGCTGGAGTACTGTACAGTACAAGTACGGTACGTACTCTCACGAATAGATGCCTTTCATATCCGTTTTGATATTTTCTACCCACCCATTCACTGATTCCAATCCCCCATCTCAAACCCAATTCCACCCCACAGCATGGATTTTGCCATCATGGTACGAGTAAAGTATTGAGAATCGGTGGCCCTTTTGCCCACCATTCCCTTCTCGCCACTAACGAATTCTGGGGGCCACGTTCCAGGTTAAGTTGGGCCAGGGGGAAAGTGTACTGTACGAGTACTCGTAGATAACAGCTTAGAGCGAAGGGAACGGAACTGAGAAACCACTGATAACCCTCCCCCGTATAGTCTATCTTGGCCATTCATAAAGTATCCGGACACAATAGCAGGGAACAATACCTGTCTTGGCGCTGGCCATTCGAATACTTTGCAAAGGGTCAAGTAACGGCGGCCCCTTTGAAAAGTCTCAAGTCACTTTCAGGTCTTGCGACATCATTGCATAAAACATCACAGGTTTATCAAGTTTTAGCCTTTATTCTTCCATTATGGGAAGAAGATCATGATTCTTATAGCTTCTTGAGATTCTTTACCCGCATTGTTTCGAGCTGTGAGTCTCTGTGTAAAGTACGGTAGCTAACAGCTCCAGTTTTTGTTTTGTTTTCCTACTCTACAATAACATTTGATCTATCGGCTTCCTTCTCATTAATCGTACGAGGGGGGAGGGGAGGGCTCTGGGAATAAATTTCCCTTTTTAGAGAATGGCTAACCCCATGTCTGCGCTCTTTTAATTGTTCCCGGGTGCCCCCTCCCCAAATGTTACCATGTACCAGGCTTGAACTGGTTTATCATACCGACTGGTAGAATTGAGTGAAGCGACACAAGCACTCACTCACTCACTCACTTGCTCAAACCCAGGCGGATAGAAACCCGCTGTCACACGTGGTTCAAGGAGAATAAAAAACATGCCCGGATATACCGGTATATCGGCTTGCGGTCATTTATCGTTGTTTACTTATTAATGTTTTCCATCCCCTCTTTGCTATGATGTACTGAAGGCTCTCGATAGATGAATATAATGTGTAATCAACTGCGCCGGTACAGTACTCGTAATCGCTGTATCACCACCGCACGCGCTCTAGATGATTCGCGAGGGTGTGAATTGAGGCTAGATGAGAGGAATAAGGATGCCGTGGACTATTCGAGTACAGTACTCGTAAAGTACTCGAGTAGCAGAAACAACCGGGCCACAAGGAATATATTGTGTGCCATTCCACTTATCCAGCCAGCCATCCAGGCGCATCAAGGCAAGCCATACCAATAACCACATGTGCGCCTCCCAACGGCGGAGAAACTACACACCGCGGCTAAACCTAGTTAGTAAGTTAGGCTTTTCCACTAACCGTGGGAACACCCACACCTACTCTATCATTCAGATAGGTATTCCTACAATTGATTGCCCCCATGGAGGAAGAAAAAGAAGGAGCGGTGAGTTCGTGTTCGAGTTTTTTTTTTTTTTTTTTTTTTCTTCTTCTTGACTCTGGCACAAGTATGATGCTCGAGTACAGCTGCCGTAAATGCCGGAAATGCCCCTACATACCGGTACAGTACCCACTAGGTTACCAAGCCGCAGTAGGTTTGTCGTAGCAATAGGTCCCGATCCACGGGATCCATCGCGGATCCCAAGGCAACTATGGGTGGTACTGTACTAGTACTGTGCGTGCATACATACCTGAGAACTCATGATGGTATTGACAAAGCTTTGTCCTTCCCTCCTCCTCCTCCTCCTATGATAATAATTCGATATACGGTATGTGCCGTGGGGGAGGCAGATCGGGGGGTACGATACCGGTAGCCTACCGTGCACTGTGTGCTACTCGTAGTCTCGAAAGGACCAGCCCTCATGTGAAAATGGAAAGCTGGTAGGTGACACGACGGCGGACGGTGCGGCGCACAAGTTAATCATTAAGTCCCTCCACCGGCTTTCTACTCGAACACAGGGTGTCCCGTGATAGCCATTTTACTTGTTTTTTCCTCTCACCTTCCTTGCGATTTGGTATTCAGCGCGCACGGGGTAACGTTAGAGCAAGGTGGTGGATATGGTATGGTTGTGGTGCAGATTGAAATGAAACGAAGGTGGAAAGGGAGGAGGAGAGGGAAAATAAGTAAATATCGGCATCCTTTCAGCTACGAGCAGGAGAGGGAGGGTACTGGTGGTTCGCTGCATGCGTATCATATCATACATCGAGTGGTGGTGGAGTACCGGTAGCTTTTGTGTGTTGGGGGATAGAAACGACACTCTGCCGCCGCACAGCGAGGAGGAGGGGGGAGGAAGGAAGGAAGGGTAAACAATGCAAATGACTTAGCGGGGCCTAGCGTGGAGGAGTAGTAAATGAATCTTCAGCCCTATCCGGGAGCCGCAACTGTCCGTTTCTTCATAAAGTTCTTGGCGTTTGAGGTGCTGGACTGGACTGAGTATGATAGGACTGGACTGACCCCCCCCCCACCTTTCTTCTTAGGGTCGTGTTATGGCACTTCTCGGGAGCTCAAAGCCCACCTCCGCATGGGATAGGATGGACACGCTCCGTCTACCAGTCAGTCTATCTACCATTCTCTGGCCATGCCTTCCGACTATTTCAAACTGCTGGAGATTAAAAACATATGGGTGGTGGGATGTGAAGATCTGTGGGCATTGGCAGATTTCTCTGATGGTTTTTTTTCTCATTCGGGGTGCGCGTGCTCTGTCGCACGCAAGCAAGCAAGGACCTCGGAATGTGCTGCACTTCGTAAAGCTCAGATTGTGGATAGCCAACTACGGTAGGCCATCAAAGTGGATCATGATCCCCGAAACTGGGGTAATAAGATGGAGCGAGGCAGTGCTGTTACATAGGGTGTCGGCTCTCGAATGCTCAGTATATCTGGAAAAATACGGGGTATCGTATGTCTGATAATGATACGGTTACCTTACTTGGGCACTTATTCCGCCTTCACCACCCTGGATTCCGCGTCAGGATCGCCATTTGCTTCAATTTCCAGTCAGGCATGCGCTGTTTATTTCGATTCGCCCCCGCTTCATCCACCCTATCGAACCACCTTTAACAATTGTTTTCGCAGGGT